CATGGCGCCATCCGAGGCTCCGCTGCCGCAGGGGTCTGGCACCCGCTCTGTCCCAATGGCACCAAACTGGTTGTGGCAGTCGCCTCCTCCAAGCTCCTCAGCCCAGTCCCTGCTGCTGGAGCTGCCACGCTCCTGCTGGTGGGCACTGCCCCAGGTGGGCTCCTGGGCCAGGAGATCAGGGCAGAGGGAGCCAGGCACATCTTTCTCATTGACCCCAACATGCCTGGCCTGGCCGACGCTGCCCTCACCGGACCAGCTCAGCCGGCCTGGGATCAGCTCCTGCCCTTCCTCCATGGGGAGCACAGAGCCATGCTCCCTATCCCGGGCTGCTCCACTGGGGCTGAACTCCCTGTCCTGGGCCTCCACATCCCTGGTGCTGGACCTGTCGCCCCAGGCCACTCTGCTGGGGCTGAACAACTCCCCGTGCCGGGTCTCCATGTCCCCAGCGCTGTGCCCATCATCCCAGGTTGCTCTGCTGGGAGTGAATCCACTGTCCTGGGTCTCCATGTTGCTGGTGCTGGATCTGTCACTCCAGGCTGCTCCGCTGGGGCTGAACTCCCCATCCTGGGTCTCCAGGTCCCCGGTGGTGCACTCGCTGGCTTCAGCCAGCCGGCTGGGGCTGAACTCCCGGTCCTGGCTCTCCGTGTCCCTGCTGCTGGATCTGTTATCCCAAGTCAGCCTGCTGGGGTTGAACTCCTGATCCTGGCTTTCCATCTCCCTGTATTCACCAGCCCAGGCTGGCCTCCTGGGGCTGAACTCCCTGTCCTGGCTTTCCATGTCCCTGATTTCACCAGTCCAGGCCGGCCGGCTGGGGCTGAACTCACGGTCCTGGCTCTCCATGTCCTGAGTGCTGTACCTGTTATCCCAGGCCACTCCGCTGGGGCTGAATTCCCGGTCCTGGGTCTCCACATTGCCAGTGCTGCACTCGCTGCCTTCAGCCAGCCGGCTGGGGCTGAACTCCCTGTCCTGGCTTTGTGTGTCCTTGTATTCCCCAGTCCAGGCTGGCCGGCTGGGACTGAACTCCCGGTCCTGGCTCTCCATGTCCCGGGTGCTGTACCTGCTGTTCCAGGACGGTCGGCTGGGGCTGAGTTCTTTGTCTGGGCTCCCAGTGTCCCCAGTGCTGGATCGGCCAGCCCAGCCCAGCGTAAAATCCTCATCCTTGCTCCTGGCATCCCGGCTGCTGTATTTACTGGCCCAGTCCGGGGTGAGCTCCCTGTCCTTCATCTCCATGTCACTGGTGCCATACCTGCCCGCCCAGGTGGGCTGCCCGGAGTCAAGCTCCTCTGTGCTGCTGGCACGGCCCAGGCCATAGCCCGGGCCCCACTTGGCTGTGCTGTTGCCAAAGTCTGGATCCCGCAGGCAGCTCTCCCCAGCACCGAGGGACTGGGACCAGTCACTGCCGCCCAGTTTGGTGTCTGCCATCAGCTCCGTCCCTCTGTAGTCACTGCTCCAGCCCTCCCGGGCGGTGCTGAAGTGCCCATCCGGCCTGGTCCCAGCACTGTCGCTGCGGCTGCTGTCCCAGTCGGATTTGGCCCTGAATTCCTGGTCCTGCTCGGTCTCAGCAGGCCAGTCTCTCTCCCTGGACACAGCTGGGCAGCTCCAGTCAAAGGTGCCGGCCCGGCGAGGGCGGCCAATGCCAAACTCACTGCACAGGTCCTTCCGTGACCAGCCCAGCAGGCCCTGGGGGGAAGGGGGAAAGGAGTGAGAAGAGTTAGAGGGGGGCATAGCCCTGGCTCCTGCAGCAGCAGAGTCGGGGAGAAAGGGAGAAATGCCCTGGGGTGCCCAGGGTACACGGCACAGCAGGACCCACCCCAAAGGGAGGCCATACCCTGCCACCTGCCCCTCACCACACGCTCCCGCTTGGCCTCCATCCACACACTCATCCCATCCTGTGCTGTCCCCTCCCATCCCATCACCCAGTGATGGAAGAGCCCACCCCACACTAACCCCACAGAGGCCCCCGCACCCCCTCACCTCTGGCGAGCCGTGCCCTGTGGTGTGGGCCCCAGGTGACGCCAGCAGCTCCGTCAGCCAGCCCGGGTCGGCGTGGGGGTCGGGGCCCTGTGGGGGTCCTTCGGCCTGGCCTGGCCCCCCAGGGCCCTGCAGGTCTTTGGGGCTGTCACCTGCCCAGGCCAAGTCAGCCAGAGGGGCTGGATCTGGGGGGGCTGGTTCCAGGGGTGCAGCTGTGGTGATGCTGGGCTGGGTGGGGGGCTCAGGCTCAGCTGGGTGCCAGCCAGGCTCTGTCACACGAAGTGGGGACTGGGACCCAGGGGTGCCTCGCTCTACCTCCCCTTCCTCCTCCTCCTCCGTCAAGCCCTCAGCCTCTCGCTGGGCTACGGGACCCCCTGGGCATGGAGCCCCCTCTGCCCTGCAGCTGTCAGGCCCTTCAGAACCACTGTCCTCCGGGGGGCTGTGGGCTGCAGCCTCCCCATCCGACTCTCCCTCTTCAGAGAGCCCCGAGTCAGGCGTCTCCCGGATGGGGGAGCGGGGGGGAAAGGCCGACAAGCGTGTCCCCCGCGACGGGAACGTCCACTCGAAGGACTGGGAAAGGCTCCAGCCGGACTCACTGCCCAGGGAGGGCTCAGACAGGGGGTCTCCGGGCCGGGGCAGGGCACTCAGTGAACCCCCCAGCTCCCCCAGGCCCTGCCCCGTGGGTGGGGACTGCAGCACTCCCTCTGAGGAGCGCCGCAGTCCCACGTCCCGGGGAGGGGAGCTGAAATCGGGACCCTCGCAGGACTGTGGGGACACTGCGGAGTCATCGGGTCCCTCTGGGGAGCCTGGGGGACGAGAGGCTTTGGCAAGGGGTGGGCTGGGGCGGCCCAGGTACTCGGCAGCAGCCTCAGGAGAGCCAGGGGGGCAGGTGACTCGGGGGGGCAGTTCGGGAGTGCCAGGGGGGCTGGCAGTGTCAGGGGAACCCTCCCCGGGAGTGTGGGGGGAGCCAGGGGAGCGGGAGGTGCCGAGATGGGGTTTGGTGGCTGAGGGAGCACCTGGGGCCTGGATGGAGGGGGCAGGGGCCTCGGCTGGAGGCTGAGTGGGGGATTCGGGGGAGCCAGGGGGTAGTGTGGGGGAGTCAGGGGCCAGGAGCTCAGCGGGGGCATCGGGAGAGCCGGGGGCTGGGGCAGAGGGCTCGGGAGGCTGGAAGGGAGCTCCTGGGGCCGGGGTCGGGGAGGTGGGGGGCCGTGGGGAGCCCGGGGGTCCGAGGGCCCCCAGTTGGAGAGAGGACAGCTGTGGAAAGAGCCAGTGGGGGTCCTGTCACTCGAGAGACACCCCCAAGCATCATCCACCCCAAACCTCCGGAGGGTCTCTCCCTCCAGCCCCGCTCCCCTCCCTGTACCTGGGGCAGGAGGTGTGCCAGCACCAGGCTGCTCCTGCGTGACTCAGCCCGGGCGGCTCCTGGTGCCCCAGCCCCGCTCCCAGCTCAGCCCTCCGCTGCCCCCGGAGCACCCAGACAGATGGAGAGGAAGAAATGAAGCAGAAGGAAGTCAGGACCCCCCAGCCCAGCCGCCTGCCTTGCCTGGGACTGGCATCACCTTTGTCCAGCACCGTCGGGGTTTGCCCTCTTGCCGGGGTGACCTGGGGCCACTGCCCGGGCTGTCACCCGTGGTGTCACTGAGGCCCGGTGTCCCGGTCACCGCCCCGAGCGAGTGCAGTGCGGGGAGAGGGACTGGCGGGGAGCCCAAGGGGCCTGCCCTGCCACATACCTGCCGGGTCACCAAACCCCGGCTGGTGACTCACAGCTGCTCCCTGCCCACGGCTGGCACCGGTGCTGGCATACGCCACCCCCACACCCCTGGGCCCCGCGCTGGGGGCCCAGCGCAGGGGGCACTGGACCCCCCAGAAGGGGCAGCCAGCACCCCGAGGAGAAAGGAGAGACACGCACCCCGCAGAGAGGGAGCCCCGGAGGAGACAGGAGAGCCCCGAAGGAGAGAGCCCAGGAGCGGAGCCGCCGCGACGCCGGAGGGCGAGGCCAGCACTCACATCAGGAGGGGACGGTGGCCTCCGGTGTCCACGGGGGTCCCCAGCACAGCGTGGCCCAGCTGGGGGGGAGCCGCTGCAGAGAGAAATGGGGAAAGAGGGTAAATCCCACTGGATGCCGCAGGGCCCCTCTCCTCCCACCCACTGAGGCAACCCTACTCCAAACCAGCCTCCATGGCTGCAAGGGGCCAGGGTCGGGCCCTGCCATGGCTGCACGCCGGGCCCTGGCTTGGGCTGCCAGGGGAGGGAGGCGAAGTGCTCCCAGCCCCTTTTCTGGAAAGTTTTTGGTCCTTTGGGAGTGAGTTTCTCACACTCTGGTTCAGAGCAGCCCCCGCCCAGCTCTCCCTGAGGTGCCCAAGTTCTCGGGAGCATGGCCAAGCCCTGGCTCCGGCCCAGAACGTCCCGGAGCTGGGAGTCCCGCTGATCTGCCCGCTCCCTGTGCCTTGGCACGGCCCAGCAGGGAAAAAATAGTGAGGCTGGGAAAACAGGAGTGTTTCCCCGGGGAGCGACCCCCTGCCCAACGGCTGGCTCGGAGCCCACCCACAGGGCTGCAGGCAGCTCCTGGTCCAGGACAGCCCGTCCTGCGGCTGGCACTAGCCTTCCCACAGAGGCAGCTCGAGGCGCTGTGGCTCAGGAGGAACCCAGGCCTTGTGCCGGCGACCAGACCTCAGCTCCGTTACATTCCCGCCCCAGGATGGCTCGGAGCAATGTCCCGTGTTCCCACTGCCACTCTCCCCCTGGGGTGGGTCTCTGGCCCCTCACCTCGTCTCAGCCACGGAGTGTCCGTCATCCCCCATTCCCAGCTCGCCCGCCGCAGGTCGGGGTGCGTGTGGGGCTTCACCAGGGGGGTCTCCATCCACCTCCCCGCTGGGACGCCTCCGGAAGGCGGCGAAGGTCTTGGAGCCGAAGCGGGAGGAGGGGTCGGGACAGAAGGGCGAGAGCCAGGCCCTGTCTGGGCTGCCCGGACCCTCCCTGCTGTCCATCTTGGCCAGGATCTCCTCCACAGTGGTGCCTGGGAAGCGCTCCGGCCTGGCAGCCACCGGCACCGGCGTCACCTTGAAGGGCGCGGGGCCCTTGCGCGAGGGGGTCGGCGGGGCGGGGGGCACCTCCTCCTCGGCAGCTGCCACAGGGGGGGACGGGAGACCCTTCCCGTTGGGGGTCTCGGGTGACCTGACAGTGAAGGAGGGGCGGCGGAGGGGCCCCCCCGTGCCACCCCCGCTGTAGGGCTGCGGCCCAGCCAGGCGGTTCATCTTCTCGGCCGAGGGCAGCTCGGGCCGGGGGTGCCGTGGGCCCGGCACAGGGGGCGGCACCGGGGGCTTGGCGGGCATGGCCGGCTTGGGCAGCACGCGGGGCTTGGGCCGCACCGGCGGCTTGGGGCGTGCGGTGCCTGCGGAGAGCCGGGGACGGGGTCAGGGGGTGCAGCGCGGCCCCCCCAGGCTGAGAACAGCCCTCGGGGGGCTGCCCCAGCAAACCCCCGCCCGTGGCACTGACCTTTGTCGGGGCTGCCGGCCAGACCGGCCCCCCCAGTGCCGGCGGGGGCGGCGCAGGGCACGGCGGGGCGCAGGGGCTGCGGCTGGGAGGCCATGGCAACACGGGGGGCACGGCGAGGGGTCAGCCCCTGGGGAGAGAGAGAGGGAGGGAGGGAGGAGCGTTTTGGGGGTCACCCCGTGCTCAGAGAGACACAGCAGCAGGCGGGGGGGTGCCCGATCGCCTCCCGGCCCTGTGCCAAGGCCCGTCCAGCTGTGCCAAACCACGGTCACACCACGGTAACACCCTTGGTACACCGGCCTTGGCTCACCTGAGCCAGCCTGGCACGGGCAGCGGCCCCAGATATCATCCCGACCCCCCACCACCGTAACCACATGGACCCCCTGCGACACTCTCGGCGCCGTGTGGCCGCTCCCTTACCTGCCTGACCCTGCGCTAACCTGTCCCAACGCACACGTGTCACCACCACCGACCTCTGCCAACCCCCGATGGCCGGTCTGGCCCCCCGTTTGCCCCGGTCCCCACTTCGGCCCCCCGCCCTGGTCACCCGCCGCCCCTTCCCCCGGGCCCCCGGCAGCCCCGGAGGCACCGCCCGAACCCCCGAGAATTGCCCCCCCAGCCCCATCGGCGGGGCCGCGGGTGCCCCACTCACCTTCCCCACAACAGCCTCATGTCCGGGGCGGGCCGGGACACACGTGGGGGGCGCAGGGCAGGCGGGGAGGGGGGGTTACCGTCCCCACGGGTCTCACGCTGCCGCCACCGCCTCTCCCGTGACTCACCGGGGCTGCGGGGACAGGAAAAACCCGCTCGGTGCCTCCTCCCGGCCCTGCCCTCCTTCCCTCCCTCCCCTCCCTGCCTCGCTCCCTCCTGCCCCCGCCGGGGTCCAACCCCCACCCCCAGATCCCCCTCCCTTCGCCTTCCACGGGGGAACGGCCGCCACAACGCACATCTGGAAACGATCGGGCCCGTTTCCCAGCACGGGATGGCGGCGGGGCCCCGGGATGCGGGTCCGGCCCCCCCGGGGTCCTCCGCCAGCGCGGCCTATCCCCGTTGCCACGGCAACGAAGCCTCCGCTCGAGTCGCCGAGTAGGCCACGACCGCGGCCTAGCGCCGTCCCCATGACAACGGAGCCCCCCACCCAATTCGGGGGTCCCGCGCCCGTGGCGCGCCGCCCGGTCCGAAGATGCGGGGTGCCCCGGCGGGCACCGCGGGGATCCCGGTCCCCCGCAGCCCCATCCCGGCGGACCGACCCCCTCTCACCCTCCGCCGCCGCTGCTAATGCATATTCATGAGCACCCCCACTGGCCACGCCCCCAACGACAGGGAGGGGCGGGGCACAGCGGCGCCGCGTGGCGGGCGGACCATAGAGAGGGGCGGCCAGAGAGTCCTCCAAAATGGGGCCGGGGGGGACACCCTAGAGACCTCCAGGAACCCCCAAATGACCCTCAGGGCGCGGGGACAGCCGGCCAGGACACCCTGGACACCCCCTGGACCCCCCCCCCCGTAAATTATCCCATTCCGGGGGTCCTCCCAACAGTGGGGCCTGCCGCCAGAGTGGCAGCAATCACCATTGAGGTGGGTTGCCATGCCAACAGCGCCCCACAACTCCACTTGGGGGTCCGTTGTGCCCACCGTGAACCCGCGCCTCCGGCCCCGGGGAGCACAAGGGACCCGGGGGGCTCCTGCTTCCCCGCAGCACCATCCCAGTGGTGCCAGTAAAGGCGGTGGAAAGAGGGGGAACAGGCAGGCATGGGATCCCCCCGGGGCTGGTTCCAGACCGGGAACTGCCCGCAATCAAACACCGGAGGGGAAAAGGGACTTAATCAGATCAGCCCGCTCATGAGGGAGATGGAAAAACCCCCAAATGGCATCAGGATCGAGCGAGGGGCCGTAATTAGGAGCCCTGATGGCTGAGCAGGGGCTGGGGGCCGCTAATGGAGGGTGGGGAGAGAGTGAGGTCAGCCCTGGAAGCGGTTCAAGGAGGGGAACAAGCTCCCGGATGGCTGCGGGAAGGAAGGAGGGATGGGGGGAGCCGGCCCCGCACCCACACAGACGCCCTCGGCGGGGTTTTTTTATTCAATCCAAGTTGCCATGTGAACAGACCCAAAATACAAAAAAAAAAAAAAAAAACACCACCAAAAAAATTAACGAGTGAAGGAAAGAAAAGGAAAGAAACCCAAGTGTTTAAAAAAAATAAATTGATGGGGAACAGGGGTGAGGGGGCACTGAGGAGCCTCCAGCACCTCCTGCCACCACGAGGTCTCGCACCCCCAGCCAGGCACGAGGGGCTGGGGGGGAGGAGGGCCCCCCAGCCCTGCTCCCGGTGGGAGCCATCCCGAGCCCAGGACCCCGGTCTCTGCCGCGGGGCCGGCCCGCCCAGTCCTCTCGCCGACCTGGGAACCAGCCTGGAGCCAGCCGGGATGGGGCTAATCCGAGCCGGACGCCGAGTCCTCCGAGCTGGGGGGTGGGCTGGCAGCCCCCTCCTCCTCCGAGTCCTGCGGGCAGGGCACAAGGAGATCAGCAGGGGACAGTGAAGGAAGGGCAGCAGCCCCCACTCTTCCATCTCTCCTGTGCCTCCACACTGGGGACAGGGTGATGGTGGTGACTCGGGGACAGGGTGATGGTGGTGACTCGGTGATGGTGATGACTCGAGGACACCCCCCAAGGGATGTGACTGTATACTACAGACACAAGGTAGGAGAGGGGCCCAGCCCCTGCGGAGACCACCAGGTTGTTCCCCCAAAAAGAAGGGCTGGGACCCCCCAGCCAGGACCCTCTACCTCCTTCTTGCTCTCTGCAGAGGAGCTCTCGTCACTGGACACAAACTCCTTGCTCTTGAAACTGTCGCTCGTGCTCTTGGCCGGGGATTTGGAGGACGAGGACTTGGAGGTGGCACCTTTCTTGTCCCCTTTCCCCTTCATCTGCTTCTCCTGCTTCTTCTTCTTCTTCTTTGACCTCTCCCTGTGCCGTGTGGGGAGAGGAGCAATGTCACCTGGCTGGCAGCCCCCCAGCTCTGGCAAGGCACTGGTGAATAGACCGATTTTGGGGGGCTAAGCCCTGCCAGCCCCTTGCCCAGCACACTTACCCCCTGTGGCTGTCGGCCTTGCTGCCCACACTGTACTCCTTCATGGCCTTCTCATAGTCCCGCCTGGCATCTTCTGCCTTCCGATCCCACTCCTGTGACCAGAGAGCAGGGGCAGCAGGGCCTTCCCTCCTCCTCCACCATCTCCAGCACCCACCCACACCCCACCCTGCTCTCACCTCATCCCTCTCCACCTCTGATCACCCAGCCCGAGGACGTCCCTTCCCCTTCCCAATTCCTCCCAGGAGCAAGGAAGGGTCCCTCACATCCAGCCTCTCCTCCCAGACCAGGCCCAGCTCTGCTGCCCCAGGGGAGCAGCCCAGTCCTCCCATCCCTCACCTCCTTCTTCTCCTTGGACATGGCCTTCCAGAGCTCCCCAGCCTTCTTGAACAGGTCGGTGATGCTGATGCCAGGGTGGTCCGACTTGATCTTCTCCCGGTTGGCGTTCAGCCAGAGCATGTACGCCGACATCGGGCGCTTGGGAGCGTTGGGGTCCTTCCCCTTCTTGCTCTGGGAGATCGAGAACACTCATGGAGCCCCAGCACGCCCCACACCCAGCACCCTGGCACCCCGCTCGCCTCTGCACCCCCCCAGCAGTGCAGCAGCCCCTCACCTCCTGCTGCTTCTTGCGGGGCTTGCGGTCCTTGACGATCTTGGCCTTCTTGGCGGGTTTCTTGTCGTCGCGGTCGCTGTCGCCGTCGCCGCTGGAGGAACTGGCCGAGGCGTTGCTGTCGAACCTGTGGGGGGGGCAGCGGCCTCAGCGCCCGGCCGGCAGCCAGACCTGCCCCCAGAGGCTTCCCGGGCCGGAGCTGCCGTGTGCTCCTGTTAACAGCCCTCGGGGGAATCGCCTTCCACGAACGTGGCTCACCGTGTTCCGCTTCCTGGACATCCAGGGCTCAGCTCCCAGCCCCCCCAGCTCCCACCACGCTGCTGCAGGGACCATGGCCCCCACCCACCCTTGCCCCAGCCCAGGGCTTTAGCCCTCCTCCCGCCGTTCTCTTTCCTGGCCAGAGCAGCCAAGGCCTCCTCAGGAACCCCTGATTCCTTCTGGAACTCTCTCACGCTGCCTAATGGTGTTACAACAGAGTGAGCCCAGAACTGTCCCTGCTGCCCAACATTCCCAAATCCAGGGCTATACAAGGCGATCTCAGTCGTGCTGGGAGCATCCCCCAACAGCACCTTCCTAAGGCCCTTCTGGACAGAGCCCTGCCCAGCCTCTACTCACTCTTCAGCCACATCATCATCCTCTTCTCCAGGGTTGAAGGACTCGTCTGGAGGAGAGAGCAAGGGATCAGCACATCAGATAATCATGAGGGAAAGGAGCCAGAGCACAACACCAGCCCCCCACAGCCTCCTGCAGCCCCAGCCCTCACCTGTCTCCTCCCCGGATCCATCGCTGCTGTCGTTGGCGTTCTCCTCCCGGATCTTGCCCTCCTCCTTCATCCTCTCCAAGTAGGCGTCGTGCTGGTCCTCATCAGAGTCGGCGTATTCATCGTAGCTCTGCTTCATTCCCTGTGGAGAGGCGGGATGAGAGCTGCTCCCTGAGCACCCCCTGCACACCCCCCACTCTGGAACACAGCCCCTGGCATGGCCCTGGGCACGCACAGGGTGGAGGATGGACACAGACACGTCCCCTCCTTCCCCACCATCAGGGCCCTGGAGAGAGGGGCAGAGCAGTTATGTAGGTTAGGGGGGCCCTCGCACACCACGCTGGGGTTAACTGGGTTAGTCAAGGACCACCACAGCCATGCACAGGAAACCTGCACCAGGAGGAGGAGGAGAAAGAGGAAGGGATATCGCACGGACCTTTTTCCTCTACAAGGGCAAGGAGAGAAAAGAGAGGTGAAAAAAGGAGGGAAAAGCAGCCGGATTTCGGGAGAAGGCAGGCCCCGCACGGCAGGTACCTCCTTCAGCCCCCGGTTCTTGATGTTCAGCTTCTTGGCATTGACAAAGTCGAAGAGCTTCCCGTACTCCTCCCTGCGGGAGAGCCGACGGTCAGGCCTGGGCTGCCAGGGAGCCCCAGTGAGCACGGCCAGACCAGCCCCACAGCCCAGAGCCCAGAGCCCAGAGCCACCTCTCAATGCTGCTGAAGGTGTACTGCGTGCCCTGCTTGGTCTCAATCTCGAAGTCGAAGGAGCGGGTGGTGGTGGTGCCGCGGGCGAAGTTGACGAAGGAGATCTCGTCGAAGCGGATGTGCACGGGCGGCTTGTGCACGTAGATGAAGCCCCTCTCCAGCGGGTACAGCAGCCCCGAGCTGGCCTTGTAGGAGCAGGTGATGCACTGGGCTCCGGAGTGCCTGTGGGGCAAACGTGGCTGTCCAGCACCCGCGGGGACAAACGCTCTCCCTGTGCCCGCCCTCGCAGCCAAAGGAACCAGCAGCCCTGCTTCCGGGCACAAATCACACAGACCCCCTTCCCCATGGCCATGGGAATGACAGGGAAAGAGAGGGACTGGCCCTGCAGCCACTCACCCCTGGAAGTTTCCGGGCACGGTGATCTTGCGGTTCACCAGTGCCTTCATCACCCGGCTGACCATCTCGTAGAGGGACCCCGACATGTTCTTGGTGAGCCGCCCCTCGAAGCGCTTCTCCACCTCCTCCCTGCACAGCCAGGAGGGCAGAGGTGAGAACGGGACGCCAGGGGCTTGGTACTTCCCTCGGGATCTGGGCTGGGGGGCCTCGGAAGCGGCCTGGCAGCGAGGCAGCTCACTCGTTCATGTTGAGGGTCAGGGAGATGTCCTCATCCTTGGAGAACAGCAGGATCAGGAAGTGGTATCGGGTCTGGCCTTGCTTTATCGGGGGGTCCAGGCTGATCTGGAAAGAGAGGGGGAGGCGAGGACCTGAATCCCCCTGACCCACCCCTCACCCCTCTTCCCGAGGGAAGGCTGACCCCTTCCCGCTCACCACAAAGAACATCTGGCGCTGGTCCTTGTGTGGGAGCAGGAAGAGGCGCAGCACGGTGGTGTAGGGGATCTTGTAGTCGAAGGTCTTGCCGTGCAGGTGCAGGAAGGTGGGGTAGATGCGGATGTCGTAGCGCCCGCGCGGCGTCAGGCACTGCAGCTCCCGGAAGATGCAGATGGCATCGCCGGTGGCCTGGATCACATCCGCCTTGGACAGCACGTTCTGGGCGAAGGCCTGCGAGGGACGGGATCACAAAGGGGCCCCCGCCGCCACCCCGACCCCTCCCCGGCAGCCCCACGCACCTCCACGGGGTCCACGCCGTCCTCCTGGGTGGGCGGCACGTAGAACCGGACCTCCATGAGCGAGACCTCG